GGTTGGACAGCCCTTTCCATGGTGAAATGTTCCCATTATCCAGCCTGAGCCTCCCCTGGCACAGCTGGAGGCCGTTCCCTCTCCTCCTGTCCCTTGTTCCCTGGCAGCAGAGCCCAACCCCCCCCGGGCCCCCCTCCTGTCAGGGGGTTGCAGAGCCAGAAGGTCCCCCCTGAAAGGAACAACTGGTCTGTGATAGAAACACAGACAGCATCTGGGCATGAGCAGCACAAGGTTCTGAGTTCACTCAGCGTCACAGTTACTCATATATCCATTATGAATTCCCCTGGATCCTCTCCTGTCCCTTCTGGAAGCAGAACTGTCTGATAACATTTTGCCAGATTGAATTTCCACCCATTCGGTGACATCCCAGTGATTTATTTTGAAGAAGTCATTGCAGAATTGCAGCATAATGTTGTTACTGCCTCTCCCCACAGCTCTGCTCTCATCTCCTCGCACTGTTACTGAGATGCCTGGTGCAATATTTTCCCAAAATCCAGTTATAGGGGAGTGGCAAAGGCGAATGGACACATTTGGCAAACTACTTCAACCTGCAGAACATAAAATCTGTTAAGAGATCAAAACCCAAAGTCTTTTCAAAATTATATCCCTGGAGGTGTCTGGCTGGACAGGGCAACCTGTCCTAGAGCACCCTGGTCTGGTGGAAGGTGTCCCTGCCCATGGCAGAGGGTGGAACTGGGTGAGCTTTAAGGTCCCTCCCAAGCCAAACCACTCGGTCATCCTGTGATTCTGTGACCCTACATTCTGGAATTTCCATCTCTTTAAACCTTGAGGAACAAGGTGAAGGCACACGTGAAATTCCTGGGCCACCTCGATCCAGATGTGGCCAGGCAACCTGGACACTCTCAAATTAATTAATTGGCACCATTCCTATTCTTTCTAGGAAGGAAATCCTCCTGCAGAGCAAACCACGGCTGTCCCTGTCCCCAGCAAGCCCCTGGATCCGTCTGATCCCATTTTGGGCACCTGGGGATGCACAGAAAATCCAAGTGTGCTTTTCATCCACAATTTTGGTTGGTTTTGGCAGAACTGTGGTCCCTCCACAGCCAGTGCTGTGTCCTCTCCTCTCCTGGCCACTCCTGGAGAGCTGTGCTGTGGATGGTGAGCTCGAGGAGGTAGGAAGTGGGACTGGGAGGAATTCCCTCAGGAATGACACTTGTCCAAGAGGTGCTGCACACAGAGCTGGGTTTGGGGACTGGACACTGCCCTCCTGGAGATCACACACCTGCAGGAGTTCCACAGCTTTGCCTCGACTTTGCTTCCCCATCAGGGAAAATTTATTGCACCCCAGTTGTTATTTAGAATCACAGAACCACAGAATTCCCAGGTTGCAAGGGACCCCCAAGGATCATCCAGTCCAAGCCCTGCCCTGCCCAGGACACTCCAACACTCCCCCCTGTCCCTCAGAGCGTTGTCCAAACCCTCCTGGAGCTCTGGCAGCCTTGGGGCCGTGCCCACTGCCCTGGGGAGCCTGGGCAGTGCCCACCACCCTGTGGGGGAAGAACCTTGTCCTGAGATCCCCCCTGAGCCTGCCCTGTCCCAGCTCCAGCCCTGCCCTGGGTCCTGTCCCTGCTCCCAGAGGTCGGAGCTGCCCCTCGGGAGGAGCTGCAGCCCCCGCTGAGCTCTGCCCTGGGGCTCCTCTGCTCCAGCTGCTCCAGCCAAGTGCCCTCAGCTGCTCCTCCAGACCCTTCCCCATCCCCCTGTCCCTCCTCTGGACACTCTCTGGGAGCTTTAGATCTATTTTATATACAGCCTCCAGACAGCACCACCCTGCCTGGGGAGGTTTGGGATGTGCTGCAGGTGATGCTGCTCTGAGTTTGTATTCAGCAAATCACCCGCAGGTCGTGCTGACCAACACTCCCCTCCCTCTCTGCTGCCTCGGAGTCGCCTCTGCCGGCTCTGCCTAATGTGGGAAAACAAAACTCTGTTTGCGGGTTGCTCTGGGGCTGTTTGATTTTCCACTCCTCACACTAAAAGCAGAGTCTGCTGCCCCTGCAGCCTCAGTCCCTGTCCCCCCTGCATTTCTGCAGCCCCACGGCGTTATTTCCCTGCTGTTCCAGGTCAGGCACTCGGTGTCAGTGTTTGCCCCCCTGCATTTCTGCAGCCCCACGGCGTTATTTCCCTGCTGTTCCAGGTCAGGCACTCGGTGTCAGTGTTTGCCCTCGGGGCTCTCCCCCTCGGCAGGACGGGGTCGGTGCCGCAGCTCTCCCGGGGGCCGCTCGGGGCAGCGCAGGAGATGGGCTGACACCACTTGGCTTTACCCGAGGTTTTGGCATCACTTCAATCACAGACACGGTTTCTCTGCTCAAACAGCCCCCCGGCTGAGCAGGTGTGAAGGAGGCCAGGCTGGAGCGGGACCTGGCTCATGAGGGGTGAATCAGAGAATCCCAGAATCCCAGAATCCCCGGGGTTGGAAAAGCCCTCCCAGATCATCAAGCCCAACCTTGTCAACCAGTCAGTCTCAGTAGTCTTGGAAGTCTTTTCCAAGACCAATGATTCCACGATTCTATGGCCAAGCCCCCGCCCCTTTCCTTTCCCTTCCCACACTCCTGTCGGCTCTGACCCACTGAACTCTGCCCTGGAGAGTCAACATGATTAGGACTGGCTTAGCCTCAAATTATAAACATTTCCAGCACAGACTTCTGGGTGCCCAGTGGTGGCTGTGCCCCCCTCAGCTGGGCTGCTGGGAAAGCTCTTCTTATTTTTTGTAAAGATGGGAAAATAGATGAGCAGCTCCTCACAACCCTCCCCACACACAGCAGTGCCCACGTGTCTGGGAAAAGGGATTAAGAAGAAACCCAGCTGGGGTGGCTTGGTGGGAGCACAGGGCCGAGACAGCCCTGAGAAAAGCTCGGGGTGGGAGAGCCTGGAGGCACAAACCAGGGGAACTGCAGGATTTGGAGCATATCTGAAATGATCTCACACTGTGCAATAGGTGTGGGGTTATTCAAGCAAGTTGTGGCTGCCCCTGGATCCCTGGAAGTGTCCCAGGCCAGGTTGGACGGGGCTTGGAGCACCCTGGGCTGGTGGAAGGTGTCCCTGCCCATGGCAGGGGTGGCACTGGGTGGGCTTTAAGGTCCCTCCCAACCCAAACCAGTCTGGGATTTTGTTCCACTAGAGCAAACTAAAGGTTCCTCCATCCTGCCATCCTGCCTCAGAAGAATTAATGAGCCTCAAAGGGGGGGCCCTGTTCCTCAAAGGGTCATTAATAATGGTTATTAGTGGCCATTTAGGAAGGTAATTTACTGTTTATCGTTCCCTTGGCACATGTCCCAGCATCTGGCAATCAATCCAGAGGCTTCCTGAGCAGGAGGCAGCACCTCAGCCATCATGTTTCATAGAAATCAATTAATTTCTCACCTCTGAACTTGACTAATCCTTTTTTCTATATACTTTGGGCTCCCACAACACCCAGCAGTGATGAGTCCCAAAACTCCATTATAAGATCATTAAAACCAGTACATTTTTACTTGTTTAAAATCATAGAATGACTTGGGTTGGAAGTGACCTTAAAGACATATTTATAAATATCCTTAAATATATCTTTAATCTGCCTGATGTTTTCAGGGTGTGTTCTCCCCTTCCTGGTTCAGATAGTGTGAGTACAGAGGAATAATGATTCCATATGGATCATCTCCCTGTCTATTATCTTACAGACCTTTCCTGGATTGCCTCATTGGCTCTACTCGGGGCTGAAAAGTCTTCTTGTGATAATCCCCAATTTTACAGGAGCTTCCTTGGAGTTGTCAAGCTGTTGGACTGGACCATTGTGGGTTCCTTCCAACCAAATTTTTTCCTTTCCTTTCCTTTCCTTTCCTTTCCTTTCCTTTCCTTTCCTTTCCTTTCCTTTCCTTTCCTTTCCTTTCCTTTCCTTTCCTTTCCTTTCCTTTCCCTTTTCCCTTTTCCCTTTCCCTTTCCCTTTCCCTTTCCCTTTCCCTTTCCCTTTCCCTTTCCCTTTTCCCTTTTCCCTTCCCCTCTCCTTTCTCCCTCAGACTCCCTCAGTGGAGCCGGGGGGGGTCGGGCTCTGCTGCCAGGGAACAAGGGACAGGAGGAGAGGGAACGGCCTCCAGCTGTGCCAGGGGAGGCTCAGGTGGGACAGGAGGAGGAATTTCCTGCTGGAAAGGGTGGTGAGGCCTTGGCAGGGGCTGCCCAGGGAGGTTTGGAGTGCCCAGCCCTGGAGGTGTCCCAGGAAGGCCTGGCCGTGGCACTCAGTGCTCTGGGCTGGGGGACAAGGTGGGGATGGGGCACAGGGGGGATCCGTGGGCTGGGAGGGCTTTTCCAGCCCCAGTGACTCTGGGACTGTGTGAATTTACAGGTGAACACGGAGGGCAGAGCCCCAGCACAGACGGTTTTACAACTGCAGAAGTGCCTCTGAGGGCCAGAGGCTGCATTTTCTCTTCTTCACAAACCCATTTGCTCTCCTGGCTCAGGCACAGAAATGGGGGTTAAAGGCAATTTCCCCCCAGAGCTGAGGTGGCAAAGATAAGCCTTGCCAGGAGACACCCATGCACGGCCGAGTGAGGGACACCCGCTCCCGGGGCTGTGTTTGCTTTGTACCATCCAGTTTGGCTTTATTGTGCAACACATTATGGTTTTAATTAAACATTCCGTGTCTCACCGGTCAGACGGGGATAGCCAGAGCTTCCCCTCTGTCATTCCCTCGGAGCGAGGCTGCAAACGCTCCTCTCACGAACTTTATGGTTATTTCCTCCAGGGATTTATTCCCCCAATAAAAACGACGTGCGTTGCCAGCACGGTGGCTGCAGCCGTGCCAGCCATAAATCACAGGGGCCGTAAACGTGTCGCCCAATAAAGTACCGGGAGACGATCCTGCCCGCTGGGAGAGCATCACAGCCGGGAGGGATGAGTCCCGTCCCTCGCAGCCGGGAGGGATGAGTCCCGTCCCTCGCCGTCCCAGCGCCGCGCTCGGCCCGGCCCATTGGCCCGGGGGGTGTTATAAGCGCTGCCCTCCCGGTCGGGGACGGGGATTCGGGTCCTGCCTCAGCATCGCGCCGGGGCCGCGCTGCCCGTGCCGGCCCAGAGCCCCCGGAGCCCGCTCGGTGAGTGCCACGGGCGGGCAGCGCTGCCCGTCCCTCCGCTCCCGCTGCTCCGGGGGCACCGGCTCGGGGGGTACCGGCTCGGGGGGTACCGGCTCGGGGGGCACCGGCTCGGGGTGGGTGTGTGGCCGAGGTGCCGCTCGGCAGGTCCGAGGGACCCTCCGGGAGGGATGCGCCGGGGCGGGCGGGTGGATGGAGCCTCGCCGGGCAGGGCGGGTGGATGGAGCCTCGCCGGGCAGGGCGGGTGGATGGAGCCTCGCCGGGCAGGGCGGGTGGATGGAGCCTCGCCGGGCAGGTCGGGCCGTGGCGGTGCCGCGGGTCGTGCCGAGGGCTCTGTGCCGGAGCCCCCCTGCTCTGCCACCCTCGGGCGGTGGGAACGGCACGTCCCTGCCCTCGCCTCTGAAGTCGACAGAAATCGGGCTCCGTGGGTGTTTTGTCCCCAGAGCCCCTTTGCCGAGCCCTCGCTCGTTGCTTGAGTTGGCAGCGGTGCCGTTGTGAAAATAGCAACGGCTCCTCTTGGGAAAGGAGCAGATTTCTGAGTCCCATCCTCCCCGGTCCCCGCTCCCAAGGCTCTGCTCCTGCCTACGCTGACAAGAACCCTTAAAGCACCAGTACTTTGAGTTATTGGTGAAAATCAGGGCCGGGGACAGGTGGGAAATCAGGAGGTGGCTTTTGAGGGCTGGAAAAGCAGGGACAGCTCCATGTCCTGCACGAAGCTTCTGCCTTGGTGCCTGACCCCTTCCCCCGGGCAGGCTGGGGTGGTCCTGGGGAGCAGCAACACCTCGGGCACTGAGCAGGGGCACAGCCCCCTCTCTGTGGCAGGATGCCACAGTCACCTCCCAGGGGCTGCCAGGAATCTTTCACTTGATATCCTCCAGGAACTGGAGGTTTGCTTCCTCCTCAGGGCTTGGCTGCAGTGAGGAAGGTGCAATTGCCATCCCATGATAGTCTGCTGGGAGATCTTTTCTGACCTGACTGATTGTCATTGTGTGATTCTGTAAGAGATGTGTGTCCCATGGGTTGTGCTGTGTTATCTATACACATGTAACTGTACACACACATGAACGAGCATGTGTGGCTGTTTATCTTTTTTACAGTTATATGTGTATATATTTATCTATAGCATTTATTGACACACATAAAGCATGGAGGGGTAAAACCACCTTGGAGCGGGATCCGTGTTGGAGCACATAACAAACCAGAGCAGCTCAGAGAGGAGCAGAGTGAATAAATCCTATTTCGGGGTAACTTCTGGAGTGTGGTGGAGTTGTTGGTGTCTGACAAAGTCAGGTTCAAGTGGGGGTTTTCTTGTAGGAGGAGCCTCCCCTACAGACCAGGGAGTTCTCACCGGTCCTTTCTTTCCCACTGTACTCCAACAGCATCTCCCCTTTATCCGCCTCCGTATTCCTGGAAAACTGTTGCATCTCAGTGTCTTTGAGAGCTCTGGACCCTGCCAGAAGCTGCTCTTGGAGCTGCTCTTGGGGACACTCAGGCAGACACACAGGCCTGGAGTTTTTTGGAATTTTTTAGGTTTTTAACCCAGCCCCCAGATGAGCCTGAACTGTAGGAGTTGGCAGGTTGATGTCACTGCTCAGATCACAGAATTATGGAATGGTTTGGGTTGGAGGGACCTTAAAGTCCATCCAGTTCCACCCACCCACATCTGAGCCACCCCCAAGGCTCTCCTGAAGAAGGGCTGTGACTGTGCCCTCAACTCCTGACACAGAAGGGCTGCAGGTCAAGGTGATTCCTGACACCACCGAGTGTCTTTGCCCTGCCTGGAGGAAAGTAAATGACTTAGGATTTTCCCCAGTTCCCATAATTTGCATGTTGCTTTTGCCCTGGAGCAGGAAGACGTTTGTCCTTGCTAAGCTTTGGGATTTATTGTCACGTTAGACTCTCAAACTGAGACTCTAATGAAGCAAAATCATATTAGGGCCCTAATAAATGCGTCATGGAAGAGCTGTGTGTTATTCAAAGATGAGCTGTGTTACATTTAACCCCCTGGCTCTCAGATCAGGCCCTCTGTGACCTGCATGTTTCACATCCTACACAAGGTGCAGAAAGACTGAAGCCACAAATACTCTTTTCCTTTAATTAGCTCTTGTTTTGCACATTTGCTGCTTTCTTCCACCCACCCAGCGAGTCCTTCTGTCACTGGGGGGGCTTGGGGACCCCGACAGCCTCTCCAGCATCTCTGCTGGGCACTTTGTCACAGAAGTGTAGGAACCTGGAATGTGTGAGGCTCAGAGGTGTGCTGGATAGTTCAGGTTGGAGACACTTCAGAAGATCTCTAGTCCAACATCAGCCTCCAGACCGGGCCAGCTGTGAGGTCAGACAGGGCTGTTCGTGCCTTTGACCAGTTGGGTCTTGAAAACTTCTGAGGGTGGAGATGTGCAGCCTCTGGACAACCTGCTCCAATGCTTGATGGGGAAACATTTCTCATTTTATCCAGTCTAAACCCCCCTTGTTTCAACTTATACCTGTTGTCTCTCATCCTCTGAAGAGCCTGATGCAGCCTCCTTGGTGCCTCCCAGGAGGTAGGGGAAAGCTGGTGGTGAATCCCTGCACATCTTCCCTTCTCCAAGCTGAACAAGCCTTTCTCCTTGGTCTCTTACTCCAGAGCACTGCTCCAACCCCACCCATCCCAGCGGGCTCCTGCTGAACTGCCCAGAGCAGACACTGCTGGATTTCCATAAAGGCTTCACTCACCTCCTACTCTTGATCCCTGTGTAAAACCCCCACCATTTCCCACACCCCCCTGCCCTCCAATCCAGACCCAGAGACTTTCCCTGGATCCTCCCCAGGGCTCTGAACCTGCAACATCTTGTGCTTTGCCTTGTGTTTGCTTGTTATTGATAAATTCACAGGCACCACCCGGGTGGGGTTCTGCTCATCTCTCTGCACGTGGCAGTGGGATTGTGAAAGGAGCAACAGCTTGGGTGTGAGAGCCACTGAAAATCCTCCTTCCCATGGGGCCCGTCTTCTGAGCTGAGAGCAGGAGGGGCTGAGTGCCTGATTCCCTGGTACATTTTACATCCTGGAACCCCAGAATGATTTGGGATGGAAGGGACCCCAAAGCCCATCCAGTGCCACCCCTGCCATGGGCAGGGACACCTTCCACCAGCCCAGGTTGCTCCAAGCCCCGTCCAACCTGGCCTGGGACACTTCCAGGGATCCAGGGGCAGCCACAGCTTCTCTGGGCAACCTGGGCCAGGGCCAAGAAATTTTGCATTTGTTTCCAAGGTTGATTCCTAAATAAGAAGTATCAGAGTTAAAATGTCACCATTTTTTTCACCCGGTTGTCATCAAAAAGAAGTCTTAGCTTAGCAGCTTGGTCTTGGCTGGGATGATCACAGAAAAGGCATTTGCCCACTCAACAAAGCATCTCAAACTCTGGAATTTGGGGATGACTGTGGAGCAGTGTTGCTCACTAGGAAGGTTTTCTCTTCTATTCTGAAGTTTTTATTTTTTTTCTTTTTCAAGAAAAAATGTCCATCCATTTCCTCCATTCTAGGGTTTAATGGGTAAACAGGAGTGCAGTCATATTTGACACTGTGGTAGCTGTACCAGTGTCCAAACAGCACGTGGGTGCCCGCTCAGGTTGGAGGGGAGGTGGAGGGATGTGCAGCTTCTCTATTCAGTGCAGAGTCCGACTACCTGGAGTTTGTGTTGTTGGTGTGTTTTAGGTCTAGTCCATGCAGGAGCTGAGCTGGGATGGAGCAGGACTCACGTGCCACGTGGGAGTTCAATGGCTCCTTCCATCAGCCTTCAGCTTTCCTCATGCTGGGCATCCCAGGCCTGGAAGCCCTTCACCCCTGGATCTCCATCCCTTTCTGTGCTCTCTACCTCACTGCTCTCTTGGGGAACTGCATGATCCTGTTCATCATCAGGAGGACCCAAAGTCTCCACGAGCCAATGTACTACTTCCTGTGCATGCTGGCGGTCACCGACCTGGGCCTGGCCCTGTGCACCCTGCCCACCACGCTGGGGCTCTTCTGGTTCAACCTGCGCAGCATCGGCTTCGATGCCTGCCTCGCCCAGATGTACTTCATCCACATCCTGTCCTTCATCGAGTCCTCCGTGCTCCTGGCCATGGCCTTCGACCGCTTCATTGCCATCTCCCGCCCCCTGAGACACCCCTCCATCCTGACCAAGGCCACTGTCACAAAGATAGGCCTGGCCATCGTGCTCAGGGGGATGGTCTCCCTCCTTCCCATTCCCTTCCTGCTCAAGAGACTGACCTACTGCGGGAAGACGGAGCTGTCCCACTCCTTCTGCTTCCATCCCGACATCATGAACCTGGCGTGTGCAGATATAAAGGTCAATGTCTTCTATGGCATGATCATTCTCTTGTCCACGGTGGGGATGGACTTCATCTTCATCGTGCTGTCCTACATCCTCATCATCAAAACTGTCGTCAGCCTGGCAACCAAGGAGGAGTGTCTCAAGGCCCTGAACACGTGTGTGTCCCACATCTGTGCTGTCCTGGTGTTCTTCATCCCCATGATCGGCCTGTCCATGATCCACCGCTTTGGGAAGAACGTTCCCCCTCTGGTGAACACTTTGGTGGCCTACACCTACCTCCTCATCCCCCCCGCCCTGAACCCCGTCATCTACAGCATCAAGTCCAGCCACATCCGCGAGGCTCTGCTCAGGGCCCTGCGCAGGAGCAGTGGGGCTGACTGGTAGCTTCCCCCACCAGCTCTGCCAGAAAGTGCTGCTGGACTGGCTTCTCGGTCAGGGACAGCAGACTGGTTTCTTGGTCAGACCTGTTCACTGCTTTCTTGGTCAGAGCTCTTGGACTGGTTTCTTGGTCAGACCTGGTTCACTGGTTTCTTGGTCAGAGCTGCTGGACTGGTGTCTTGGTCAGAGCTGCTGGACTGGTGTCTTGGTCAGAGCTCTTGGGCTGGTGTCTTGGTCAGAGCTCTTGGACTGGTGTCTTGGTCAGAGCTCTTGGACTGGTGTCTTGGTCAGAGCTGCTGGACTGCTTTCTTGGTCAGAGATGCTGGACTGGCATCTTGGTCAGAGCTCTTGGACTGATTTCTCTCAGAGCTGGTGGGCTGGTTCCTTGGTGCTCCGTGCACACAGCAGGTCACTGCCAGAGGAAAGAGCTGCAGATCCACTCAGATGCTGTCTCCCAACCCAGAGCTGTGACCTTCCCTGCTGTGTCCCAGCATGATGCCTTCATCCCTTCCAGCAGCCTGTGAACACCCGGAGCATTAATGGAACCCCAGTGAGAGGGAGACAATTAAAGAAACATGGACTGCATGACTTTGTCTTTCCAAGTCTTGGGGGGGGAATCGAGGAACCTCTATCACATGTGAGACAAACTCGTAGCAGATAACAGGGTGTGACCTTCACTGAGAGACCCTTGCATGGGGTCATTGTCCCCTCCCCACCTGCCACAGCAGCAAACTCCACAGGACAGGGCTTGGGCCAGGAGCTGGGAGCCACCCTGGCTGTCCCAGCCCTTGGCTGTTCAGCTGGAAACATCCCCCAGGGTGCAGCTCAGTCCAGAGCCTGAGCACAGAGCAGTTCTGGCCAGGTCCTGCTGAGGGGGCCTGGACACTCCCAGCCTCCATCCGTCTCTGAAGTGCTGTGTTGTGCTGCTTGGGGCAGGGGTTGAGTTAATTTAGTCACAGGGGCTGGTGTGGGGCTGTGTTTGTTTTGTGCTGAACACAGGGCTGAGAACACAGATGGTTTTGTTAGTGCTGAGCTCACCCAGAGCCAAGGCCTTTCCTGCCCCTGGTACAGCCCCACTGGGGAGATGGGTGGGCTGGGGGTGTGGGAAGTTTGGAGGAAAGACAACTGGGACAGGTGGCCCCAACTGAGCCAGGGGATATTCCAGACCAGAGGACAACGTGCCCAGTATATGAAGGGCGGGGGAGAAGGAGGAAGGGGGGGACATTTGGGTTGATGCTCTTTGCCTACCCAAGCCTCTGTTACACGTGAGAGGGCCCTGCTGTCCTGGAGGAGCTGAACACCTGCTGCCCATGGAAGAGGGAATTAATTCCTTGTTTTCCTTTGCTTGTGTGTGTGGCTTTTGCTTTCCCTAGTAAAGTGTCTTTATCCCAACCCACTGGTTATCCAGCTGTCCCCACTCCAGCTCTCTCCCTCATCCCACTGGTGGGGCAGTGACCAAGGGGTTGCTGGGGCTTGGCTGTTGCCTGGGGTTAAACCACAACACGTCCATCCACAGGGATGGAAACAGCTCTTTTCCATCTCTTTTGGATGTCTTCGAGGCCCTCAATCTTGCCAAGTCTAATTAATATCCCAGTCACTGTTTTGCATTAAATGTCATGTGTGTGAGCAGCATCTTCAATAAAACACATCAATTCGTTGTGAAAGGTCACAAGACCTGATGAAGCCTTTTTTGCCTGAGATATTAGGTTGGAGTTGCTTAAAAACTTCAGGATGTGCTGTAGATGAACAGGACTGTATGAGTTAGGTGTGATTTGGGATGGGCCTGAGGGTCTGGTGGGGCTGGAAGCTCTTGCTGAAATAAGGGGGGCTCAAAGACATCATAGGAATGGCTAAAACTCCTGACACAAAGGACCACGTCCTACAGCCTTCCAGCTGAGGTGTGCTCTGCTGGCTGTGCCCCTTGGAGAGATGTCAGGGAGGGGACAGTGTGTCCCAGCAGCTGCTCTGCTATGGGCTGGGTCTGAGCCAGATGTGCAGGGAGGGTTCATGGTCCTCCTGGATCGTGGCCTCCCACAGACAGAATAAAATGCCCCAAAATCATGGAACAGAGTCCCAGAATCATTGAGGCTGGAAAAGCTCCCCCAGCCCATGGAGTCCACCCTGTCTGTGCCCAATGCCCACCCTGTCCCCCAGCCCAGAGCACTGAGTACCACGGCCAGTTGTAAATATTTCACTCCTCCAAATTACAGAGCTGTATTTTTGTTCATCTTAAGCCTTATTTTGTCCAGGCTTGGCCGTGGTGGAGAATAGGAAGCAATGGCCAGGGTTCACCTTGGAAGGGGAAGCAGCAGAAGGTGCTGGGACAGGACCCCACACCCAAACTGGCCTGTCTCTGCCTGACATTGGGCACTTCCCCCTCAGAGCAGCCCAGATTAGTGTCTTTCTTTTCTGCTCCATCCAAACAGTAGCTGGAATGGAGAGAAAAAATAATGCAGAAACATCTCCATTAAGAAACCCCAGAGAGAGAGCAGGGAAGATTCCTGAGGGGAGGGTTCCCAGGCCACTGCTTGCTCTGTGTTGTGCTCATTATCTCACTGAGTGTCCCAGGGTGTTCAGTGACAGCCCCCTGAGCTCTGCCTGGCACAGCAGGTCCTCGGGGGCAGGTCCTGCTGCCACTGGGACAGCACCAAAGGGGACAACTCTGCTCCAACATGTGCAGTGTAACCTGGAGCCTGCAGGAGTCACATAAGGGAGAGACTTCAGCAGGAAAGGGCTTTGCTGGAGGGTTGCCTGGCTTGGGCCATCCTCACACAGGGTTCTGAGAACAATGATTCAGAATTCTGAGGAGATTCTGAGATTGCTCCCAGCCTGAAAAGTTGCAGAGTTCCTCCCTGGGTGTCTGTGCTTCCTCACTGCAGCCGTTCTCCAACACAGCCCCAGCCCCAGGAGCCTCTGCCACAGTAAGAAAACGTTTGTGGGGGACAGGGAGGGTGTGGGGGGGTGTCAGCACATCTGTCAGCACAGCTGGAGAGCACCGTGGAGCGGGAACGAGAGAGGGAGAGATAAAGATGGGGAAGAGGAAGAGAGAATGGGAGAACGAGGAGGAGGAGAAGAAAGAAGGAGAAAATAGGCTGAGAGAGCTGGGGATGTTCACCCGGAGAAGAGAAGGCTCCAGGGAGACCTGAGAGCCCCTTTCAGGGCCTAAAGGGGCTCCAGGAGAGCTGGAGAGGGACTTTTGATAAGGGCCTGGAGGGACAAGACAAGGGGGAATGGCTTCCCACTGCCAGAGGGCAGGGATGGATGGGATATTGGGAAGGAATTCCTGGCTGGGAGGGTGGGGAGCCCCTGGCCCAGGTTGCCCAGAGAAGCTGTGGCTGCCCCTGGATCCCTGGAAGTGTCCAAGGCCAGGTTGGACGGGCCTTGGAGCACCCTGGGCTGGTGGAAGGTGTCCCTGCCCATGGCAGGGGTGGCACTGGATGGGTTTAGGGTCCCTCCCAACCCAACCCATTCTGTGGTTCTGTGGCAAGGTGTCAAAGGTTGAACTCGATGATCTTGGAGGTCTTTTCCAACCTAAATGACTCTGTGACTCTGTGATTTACTGAGAGGAGCTGCTGTGGCTGCTCTTGGATCCCCTCAGGAAAATAAACATGCATTTACTGGTGTTTTTAGAGACAGGTAATCTGTCTTTTAACAGTATATCCAGTTTTATCTCTACAGAAAGCCAGGCCCTCACAGCACCTGGTTCTCATCCCACCAGCAATCCAAATCACGAGTCACTTCTGAAAACAGGGACACATTTATTGATGCCAAAGGACCAGAGCCAAACTGCAGCCTCAGGGATTGTTTCAGTGCCTGTCTCACAGCCCCATTCCCTGGGAAGGGAATGGGAGGGCAGGGGTTGTCCAGTGGGACTCGGGCTGTAATTGCCCTCCAGGGCTGGCAGGTGAGTTGCCTCAGGTACCTGTTGGTGACTGGTGAGGCTCCTTGTTCTTCTTAATGCCAGGGCTGGGCTGCCAGTGCCATCCCTGTGGGCACAGTGACAGCACCAGTCCACCCACGCCGTGAGTAAACTGGGTATAAAAAGCTACAATATGAGTCTTATTTGTTACAGATCCAAGATGGAAAAGCCCCACATCAGGGGAACAAAGCAATGCTATTTTAGGGTTTCACCACAGTAAAACCCCCACGGTTTCAAACCCCACGTCACTCATCAAATAATTGCATTAATAACCTGCAGAGCTTGTCATAGACCCACTTTGCATCCATGATTTACACGGATTGGGCACAAAAGGAATAACCAGAAGGCTCAGGTTATGTACTTAATCTTGTGCTGTCCCTCCAGGGCAGGGGGATGGTGGGTTTGCTCTGCCACTGGTACAGCCAGGTACCGACTTGGTGCCTGGGGATAGAAAAGCACCCAAAGCAAATGTTTTTACAGACCTTCATGGCCATTTCCTTTGGATCACAGCCCTCCTGGAAAATCTGCAGATACGGAATAAGGTGAACAATGTGATTATTTTCTTTTTCTACAGATATTCTGATTTTTCCATACGTGTTTTCAGGTCGAAAATCCAATTTGTGTGTGCAAAAAAAAAAGTTAAGATAGCTGATTCTGCCTATGCCTGTGTGCAGTTCTGGGGAGGGCTGGGCCGTGGGAGGCAGCACCACCAGCTCAGCACATTTCTGACAGGGCACTGCAGCACATATGGAAGAAATCAAACAGAGCTGAAGTTTTACAGGAAACACTGAAATCCTGTTGGTTTATTATTATTATTATTATTTTTAATTTTTCCCTTTAAAATGAAAAGAAAACAAGTTCAGCTGAGGGGTTAATTATGTGAAATGTTGTTTTTATGCTATTCTGCCCGTTAAGAGAATTCAGGCCGTTCCTGGTCGAGCTCAAATGGCAGCATTTTGTCACTGCAGGTGTTGTTGCCCCCAGCCACGGTGGAGTGTGGGACTGGGAGAGGGGCTGCCCGCCCTGTGTGAGCCATCCCGTGGGACGCAGAGCCACGGGAAGGGTTTCTGAGCGCTGTCTGTGTTTGCCTTGCAGGAGGTGCCCGGCGTAGCATGAGTGCCGCCCCCGGCGTGGGCCATGCCCTTCCCCAACGGCTCTGAGCTGCGCCCGTCCTTCATGCTGGCGGCGCTGCCGGGCCCGGAGGGGGCCCAGGCCTGGGTGGCCGCGCTGCTGTGCGGGGCCTACGCCGTGGCCGTGGCGGGGAACGGGGCGGTGCTGCTGGCGGTGCGGCTGGAGCCCGGCCTGCACGTGCCCATGTACCTGTTCCTCTGCATGCTGGCCGCCATCGACCTGGCGCTGGCCTCCTCCACCGTGCCGCGCGTCCTCGCCTTCTACTGGTTCGGCACCCGGGAGATCGGCTTCGGCGCCTGCCTGCTGCAGATGTTCCTCATCCACGCCCTGTCGGCCGTCGAGTCCACGGTGCTGCTGGCCATGGCCGTGGACCGCTACGTGGCCATCTGCCACCCGCTGCGCCACGCCGCCGTGCTCACCAACGCCGCCACCGCCCGCGTCGGGCTGGCGGCCGTGGCCAGGGGCGTGCTCTTCTTCCTGCCCCTGCCCCTGCTCCTGCTGCCCCTGCCCTTCTGCGGGTCCCGCGCCCTGTCCCACTCCTTCTGCCTGCACCAGGACGTGATGAACCTGGCCTGCGCCAACACCACCCCCAGCGTGGTGTACGGCCTGGCCGCCATCCTGCTGGTCATGGGGCTGGACGCCGTCCTCATCTGCCTCTCCTACCTCCTCATCCTCAAGGCCGTGCTGCGCCTGGCGGCCTGGCGGGAGCGGCTCAAGGTGTTCAGCACCTGCATCGCCCACATCTGCGTGGTCCTGGCCTTCTACGTGCCCCTCATCGGGCTGTCCGTGGTGCACAGGTTCGGGAGGGACCTGGCCCCGCTGGTCCACGTCACCATGGGGAACATCTACATCCTGGTGCCCGCCGTGCTCAACCCCATCATCTACGGGGTGAGGACCAAGCAGATACAGAGGAGGATCTTGAGTCTGATCCGTGTCGGTGACAGAACTTCCCAGTGACCTGTCCCGTGTCCTCACGGCTCACGTTCCACCCTCGGCGTCCATGGCACGGCACTGTCCTCTGGGTGCACTCCGAGGTGCTGCCAGGAGGCAAAAGGTAAAGAGTGGTTACAAACTCCTTCCAAGAGTGTTTACCCTCATCAGACTTGGAGAGAATCTACTACA